GGGGGGGGGAAGGGAGAACCGAAGGAACAAAATGAAGAGAAGAAAAACAAAAAAAGGTAAGGTAAAATATGCAATCTAGATAGAAGTGTCAAGGAGCAGAGTTTGGTCCTTGGTTCAATTGTCCACTTTGGAGTTTGAATCGCTCCCATCATCATCAACATCATCACTATCAATGTCGGCTATACATCCGCCCCGACAGACAAAGCGACCACCGCATGAGCAGGCCTGAGGTCCGTCTTTGGAGTAAACAATATCGGCGAAATAGATCGCTGAATCAAGAATGGTGTCGCCCTCCTCAACCTGGGGGATCTCTTTGTCCAGTTGCTTTCGTAATTCTTCTTCCCCGTCGTCCCTATGGTCGTATTCGAAATCTTCTCGGCGTTGCTGCAACGTATCAATAACGTCCGAAGTTATCGAGTGGCGACTTGAGACAAGAGGAAAGTGCAGTAGTATTGGAATAGGCCATTCGTCAGGTTGGATTTCATCGGAACACCCTCGTTTCCGGACTCTCGTTTTGCGATGCAAGAAGGGCCCACACCGCCTGACATCAAGTTCGAACTCAAATTCGGTTTCAATTGTTCCCAGATAAATAGATATGTCAATTGCGGACCGATAAATTTCGATAAGCCCTTCGTATCGGTTTGTAACTTGATTCGGGTCGGTCATTTTCTTCAATACTACCTGCAAGGCTTGACACTCCTTGAGCATACTGGTCGCAAGTCGATTTGCGAGCAGCTCCTGGGCCTTGCCGGTTTGATGTGCAACCCTGTAGTCCCTCGTATGTTCGGGGTGGACCTGATTTAGGAGCTGGGTTGTCGTTCTCCGCCAGTCAGATGCTCTGATCGGGTCAACTGCGGTATGGATAAGAAGTTTATTAGTCTACCAGATACTTGTACACCCCCCAGGACAAGCTAAATGATTTGCAGACATACCTTTGATTAGCCTCTTCCAAAGTCCCCACAATTCCTTCCCAAAGGCTGGTGGATCCATGCTTGACTGGCTACCTGTGCCCTCCTGACTGCCCTCAACGTAGACAAATGGATTACTGATAACATCTTCAAAGAGGTGCTTCATTAACACCGTGCCTGGAAGAAAATACCAGAAGTTATTATAGCCAAGCTTGTCAAGTCTAGCCTCAATCGACCTCCAATCTTTGTCCAGGCAAAAGTTCCCAAGGCTGTTCAGAATTATCTGTAAATCGCCGGCAGACAACCTATCCCTGAGCTTTGCTCTCCTGTAGCAGTATTTATCCACCCAAGTTGAGACACGCCGGCTGAAGTCGTGGAACAGGTTCTTTGTACAGCCTTCATTCCATTCACCCCTATAGCTCAAAGACCTCGGGCGTGTCCAAACAATGGATCTACCTGGGCGTCTTTCTTCTGGTAACTCTGGTAACCCGTGTTCATCAACAGGCACCTCATGCTGTTGAACCTCTGTGGATTCTTTAACATTTGCTGACGCTGTAGATTCAGAAGCTGAGCTAGCGTCGATTTTGGCTTTCATTGATGTCTGGATTTCTGGTGACGCTGGAGGTTCCGAAGCAGAGCTGGTGTTAACCTTATCCTCTGTCGATCTTTGGACCTCAGGTGGTGTCTTAGGCTCAAAAGCCGACTTGGATTCGGTACTTTGATGGACCCTGGGCTTCCTCCCCTTCAATTCGGTCGCTTCTTGTTTCTCTAACAACCTAGGAGAGCGCCTTTTCTATAGAGTCCACAAACTTCATTAGCATTTTTCAGAAGCTCCACATCTTTCATGGAATCAAGCTTCGTTCATGTGGTCCCGCAAGGTCTGACTGCATTAGAGCCCCGCAACACAAGGCCCACTGTGGGATAGCCAATATCCACAACGTGCAGAAGAGCCTGGACGGTTGGAGGAGAATGAGTGAAGGATGCATTGACGCTCGTTTCTTACCTGTGAAGGTTCGCTAGTGTTCTTTGCCTTTCTTTTTCCCATCTTGAAGCCCACTGTAGTTTTGCTCACTACACGGTGTTGCCTGTCTATCCAAATGGCACAGTTTTGATACTAATCACGGGGAAAACACTGTGTGACAAGATTAAGATTCTCTCGGAGTTTATATACGATGGTTATAAGTCAGATCCTTTGAGCATCGGCTGGCCTTTTTAAGACTTCTACAATGCGGTTCCTGGATAGTCATAAGACAGGCGGTATTGCCCAAAGCATGAGGCAATAAATAATGGAAACTACCAATACAAAAGGACGAAAGAAAAGGCCAGGGACAAGGGTCTCGCCTTTGAACTTTGGGATCGCGGGAAAGTTTGAAAGCCATCGTCAAGGGGAATGGTGGCAACCGTATCCACCCAGCCTTTTCTCTCAATTGTCAGGTGATAGAATCATAGAGGTCCAGGCCCGTCATTTGGGCGCATGCCACTCGCTTGGGCAAATTTACACTTACTCTTCTGTCTCACTCATGAAGGGCGTTAGCTGGATCTAGATCTCCTCAGATTTGGACAAGCAATATAACTTACGTCCAATCTACCTAGTTCGTGGCTGCCTCTGTCCATCCCCAGAACCACTTTCAATACTTTTCCCTTGTCTAAATTGTGCTTTCTTTGGTTTCCTATCTACCCTATATCTTTGTGTCCAAACCAACATAATCTTAGCCGAACTGGTCCCCCGAATAACGCCATAATGACCATGGAACGTACTCGGAAGATCGCTGTGTCCGTGGATTGCGGAACTACTCATACAAGACTTTTGGAACCCCAAGCTGGTCGAGCAAGGCTCGGGCATAGACATTGATCAGTCGGAGCAGGTGTTGCATGGATTCATCCCGACTCTACGAATGTGAGATTTATCGACACTTGGCCCGGAACGCAGACCCGTTCGACGCGTGTCCCGACCCGCATCGCCTACAGTTTCAAGAAGCGAGTCCTCCAAAACGCGGCATGGGGATACATGATTACCGAAGATCACGTAACTTCTTCCTGGGTTAATCTCCTCTTAGAGCCTGAAGTAACGGAAAAGATCATCGCCGATGACAACAAGCAGTGGAAAGA